ATTCCACTTCTGAAGAGGAATGAGAGACAATATTTTGTTTCTCCGACTTCTAGCATATCAAGGATGATCCTAGGAAGACACAAGAGCCTCTGATAGACTTTCTGGTATTAGGGAAACAAGCCCAATCACTATTAGCAAAACCAGATAACGAAAGAGGATTTTCTGCTGAAAAGAAGAAACATTTGCTGGGAAAGGCCTTAAGATACTTATGCACATGACAAGCGGCCAAATAATGATATTATTTAGGAGATGCCATGAAAGTTGTTGGACAGAATGAGTTATGTCTGGTCTTGTAGTCGTGAGATAGAGTAACCTTCCCACTAGCTTTCGATAACCAGGAGAATCATGATAATGTGTACCTTGATCATGACTCAATCTATGAGATGGAGTCAGGGGCGTGGATACTAGTTTAGCTGCAAGAATACCAAAATCAGCAAGCAACTCAAGTGCATATTTGCGCTTATTAAGAATGAGACAGTGTTTGGATCTATCTACCTCCAAACCAAGAAAAAAAGGAAGTTGACCAAGGTCCTTTATTCGAAATTGACTGTGTAGAGAAGATTTGACAAATTCTATTTCTGTCATGTCATCACCAGCAAGGACAACATCATCTACATAAACTAGGAGAGCTGTGAAAGAGATTGCAGTCTTCTTAGTGAATAGGGAATAGTCAGCCATGGACTTGGAATATCCAAGATTCTGAAGAGGAGAAATGAGTTTGGCATTCCATTGCCTACTTGCTTGCTTCAATCCATAAAGTAACTTCCCTAGTTTGCAAACCATATTAAGAGAGGGACAAGAAAGACCATAGGTGGTTGCATGTAGAATTCTCCATGGAGATCACCATGTAGAAAGGCATTGTCAACATCAAGTTGCTCCAAATGCCAATTGTTAGCAACAACCATTGCCAGCAGTGCTTGAACAGTGGTCATCTTGGCCACTAGGGAGAAAGTTTAGAAGTAGTCAACACCTTCACATTGGGTGTATCCTTTGGCAACTAGACTTGCCTTGTAACGATCAACTGATCCATCAGGTTTCCTCTTGATGTTGTACACCCACTTGCAGCCTATAGGTTGCTTATTTGGTGGTAGTTCAACAAGTGTCCAAGTGTTATTTTTCTCCAAGGCTTAGAGTTCAGGTGCCATTGCAATTTGCCAATAAGGAACAAAATAAGCTTGTTTGTAACTCTTTGATTCAGAAGTGATTAATAAGTTAGTGCAGAAAATAGTATAGGCTTGAGAACACTTGTTATAGGAAAGAAAATCTGATAAAGGATAAGGGTTTGAAGGATGTGTACCTGAAGATGTATTGTGTCAGCTAAAGTTGATAATCCACAATGAAATTCTGCTAAGTATTGGGGTGCATATCTAATTCTTGTTGATTTGCGAACATAAGGTAATGAGGTAGGTGTTGTAGGTGCAAGAATTGGTTCCTGAATTGGACAAAAGAGCAGGTTGAGTAGGAGTTGTTATGGAAGACATGGGAGAAAGGAAGTCATCATTAAAATGTATTCGTAGAAGGAAGAATAACAGGTAGAGTGTCTGAATTTGTATTATCTTGAGTGAAAGGAAACTAATCCTCATAAAAAATGACATTCCTGGATGTAAAAATTTCATTTGTATTAATGTCAAGAACAAGATATCCTTTGGTATCTTATTTGTAACCAATAAATACATATTTCTTTGCACGAGAGTCAAACTTGGAATGATGAACTAATAAAGTAGAAGCAAAACACAAAGAGCCAAAAACCTTTAAGTGAATAAAAGAAGGAGGAATACCATATAAACATTCATATGGAGTTTTGTGATTCAAGGATGAGGTGGTTAATCGATTAATAATATGGACAGCTTGTGTAACATAGTAATACCAGTAAGGTTTTGGAATTTGAGATTGAAAAAAAAGAGCCCATGATATGTTTAATATGTGTTGGTGTTTGCGTTCAACAACACCATTTTGTTAAGGGCACTCTACATATGAAGTCTAATGTTGTATCCTTTTGTTATTTAAAAAGTTAACTGTAGCAAACTCTGGACCATTATATGTTCTAAGAAATTGAACGATTTTCTGAAATTGAGTTTGAACAAGAGATATGAATTTGCGCAAGTGACCTCTAGTTTCAGACTTGGCTTTCATTGGAACAATCCATGTAAAACGTGAATGATCATCTACTAAGGTAAGAAAATAATAGTGTCCATGGATGGATTGAATTGCATATGGACCCCATATATCAGCATGTATAATATCAAAGATGCATGGATTCAATATTACTAGAGGGAAAAGGTAACTTTCTTTGTTTTGAGAAATGACATATATCACAAGGGTCAGAATTATTTTTACAAGAAATGAAAGGAAACATTCGAGACATGTTTTGTAATACATCTTCGAACAATGGCCAAGACAAAGATGCCATAACTTTGAAAAATCAGAAACAGTATTGTGACAACAATATTCAACAGAATTTACACTTGAATTAAGTAAGAAAAAACCTTGATCTTGTTTAGCTGAACCAATCATCTTCAAGGTATTGTTCTGCAAAATGGAACATATGAGTGAGTGAAAAATAACATGCCAGTTTGAATCACGAGTTAACTTTGCAACCGATATGAGATTGACATGGAATTTAGAAACAAATAGGACATTATGTAGTGTGAGAAAAGAGGAAAGATGAATATTTCCTGTTTGAGTGGCAAAAACCTGACTTCCATCAGGTAATTTGATTGGGATAGGTGTGTTGTTGCGAAGAGAGGAAAATAATGAGCTTTGGTGACTTATATGGTCAGTTGCACCAGTATCAAGAATCCATTTGGGAGATGAATTACCTAGATTTAATGAGGTAGCATTAACCTGAACCAGATTTGATGAATGAGTGATTTCTTGCTTTGGATAATGTAATAAGCCAAGCAAGTTATTGAATTGTTCCTTTGTGAGATGAAATTTTCCATTGTTGTCTTCAACTTCAGCATTTTCTTGTTCTGTATCAAGGCTAAAAGGATCGAAACCTTCATGGGCAGCCATGTTGACTTTTCTTGGCATTTTGGTTTTATAGCCAGGAGGTTAGCTATGTTCTTCGAAGCAAGTGTCAATTGTGTGGTTGAATTTTCCACAATGAGTGCAGAGTTTTCCAGCATTTGTTTTGCCTCTCCCAAAGCTGGAATGACCTCTACCTCTTTGCGATGTGCTACCACGAATGAAACTTTGTTCATGAGTATTGAATTGTCCAACATTTCCACGAAAACCACTTTGTTCATAAGAATTCTAGAAGATCTTGACATCAGAATTAGCATCAGCATTAATTTGTCTTTCTTGTTGAGAAATCAAAGAAAAAGTTCGATCAACATTGGGTAAAGGGTCCATGAGCATTATTTGAGACCTCATATGGGAGAATTGCTCATTTAAACCTCTTAAGAACCGAATTACATGGTCTTTCTCTCAATTATGCGTGCTTGTGTTTGCATCAGATTCCCACAGGCACATGTTGGATTACAATTGCATTTGGGCCATTGTTGTAGACTATCTAATTTATCCCATGTAGTCTTTAGATTTGTGAAATATTGAAAGACAATGCACTCACCTTGACACATACGCAACAAGTCTACAGTGTTATCTACATTCCCAAAACGATGTCGTTTTGGATTGAAAGATTAAAAAATTATAATGAGAAAGACTATTATAATCCTGAAATAAATTATAATTATAAAAGTACTTTAATTTCTGTCCCAAAATGATATCATTTTAGATTCAATATAGATAACTTATCCAAATTGACCGCGCACCCTTCTTTAAAGTGCCAAACACTTTCCCTATTTTTTATTGGAAAATATTTTTTTCATGCTGCATAATGCAACACACAAAAAAGTGGGTGAGACCAACTAAGAGGAGAGAGAACAAGAAAAAAATAGATGAGTCTCATCCATTTTTTTGTATGTTGCACGAGACAAACATGAAAAAAAATATTTTCTTTTTTTTATTTGTTTGGTGTTGTTTGGCTGTGAAGCCAATATTTAAATGTTGACTGGTCAATGACTCAAAACAAAAGCTAGTGTGGGCCTCCCATCACAGGGATTTTCAATCCCAATATGCAACGACGACGAATTTTGAGTTTCCTGTGTAGATCTTGGTCGCAAATACTGACAATGACCAAACAAACTATTGACCTTGGTTACATTAAATCCCTAGATATACACGCACCCAGCGGTCTATATGGGCTTGGTTAGATTTTATTTTGGTTTAAATAAATAGAGCCTGTGTAAATATTTGTAAATTTTTTAGATATAGCCGTCTAATTTAACCTATATTTAAAGGGAAAACTACTCTTATGTAACATAAGAGTAGTTTATCTCCTATAGACCCATCGAAAATCGTGACACTCTTTTTTCTTTTTTTTTTCCTTTTTTGAAAATAGTGGGTCCTACAACATATGTCTCTACAACATAAGGTATCTTCTCTCATGTAACATGAGATTAGATGAACCCATATTTAAAAAGGAAAAAACTATTCTTATTATGAGGTAAGTTTTTTCCTACACACTCTTCGATAACCGTGCAATATTTTTCTTTTATTTTTATTACTCTATTATTCAAAATTATTAAAATAATAGTTTTATTTATTTTATTTAAAATAAAAAATATGGTAGAAGCCAAACTAATAGGCTTATAGATTGACATGTAAAAGAAAACATATGACTGATTTTTTAAATAGATTTTTTTAAAAATCTGATCAGTTCTATTTGACTATATTTAATTAGCCAAATCTAACCTGATATAAACTAGATGGTAAACCCTTATTAAGCCACCTGACCCATTTACACACCTATAGGCACCAATTCAACCATATTATAAGTCCCTTTGAGATTTTGGATAATTTTTAGGTATGGAATACTTTTTTGTATTAAATTGACAGGAGCGTATTTTTTTATGTTTTACCTTCAACAATTCAGAAGCAACCTAGAAAAAATAAATTGCTCTATATATTAATTCTCTTCTGAAATGAGAAGTTAGGACATTCACATGGACAACAATTATAACTTCCCTCCCCAAATATCACATTCATACTTGTCACTTGACATGCTGTGCCTCAACAACATGGTTTCATCAAAATTTTCTCTACCAACCGCATCACCGTAGTATTTGCAGCTCTTTCTGTAATCTGAATATAAACAACTAACAACATCTCCTCCTGTCCATGCTTCTAGCACGAGACCTATTAAATTCATATCTTATTCATCCAAAACACACTCTTGTCATTAAGAATGCTTCCAAGGGCCTTCAAGACCACACTAAACTCCCATTCAACCAAACTAAATGAACTTTGGTGAAGGAAGAAAATTCACATTTCATGACTCGGAAGTCCCATTACAAGGTCCACCTGATTTGCTCCTCTTTGTATTTGGACTATCATGTGAAGAATTTGGACATGACCCAACTGTTAATTCATCACTCCTAGAACTCAAGCATCCAGCATCCAACACCCCAACAGGGCTCTGAGGCACCAATGGCGCAAACTTGCTGCCCAAATTAGCAGCAACATTGATCAAGGACAAATCTCTTATCAGTTCAACACACTTTAGAATTCTCTCCTGCAAAATGAAAACCCAATCACTCAAAAGTTAGAAGAATTCACAAAGGAAAGATGATATCAAACACCAATTATCAATTCAACAAAGACAAAAGCAAAAGAAAATTTGTCATCGCCCGCGGTTTGTTGCATTGGAACAACCACCTCCTCACCTTCTCTACAATGAAGCAACCAGTTATGGCCTTATCAATCTCCTCTACTTGCAATTCCCTTGAAACAGAAATTGCCACTGCTGCAGCAATTTCAGAAGGCTTAAATTCCAAGAAGTCAATACCTGCAATTGATTTCCCAACAAGCACTCTTCAAACTCATTACTACTCAAGAACAACAGAGTCCAGAAAGACCAAATATTCAAACAGAGTAATTAGGATACCTCTGATTATGCTAAGGATCAGCTGTACCGATCTTGAAATGGATGACTTTGCTTGATGCTGCTGCTCACAATTGGTCTTACCGAGGAAGTAGTCTATGAAGGAACAAGGAGTTAAAGCATGCATTTTCCATCTCAATGATCTTAATACCAATAGTTCCATTCTTTGAATGCTTTTAGCTTCAAATACAAACTTTGGATCTCCAACCTGCCCATTGTCAATATCAATGAGAGAAAATTAGAGGGTAATATGCATAAAAAAAACATATTTAACTATCTTAAAAGATTGTATGATTCTACTATACCTGTAAATCTACAGAATGAGGCATTTTAATCTCCTCCATTTTAGCTGCAATTGACAAGCAAGCTACCGCTAACAATTGCACAGGCCAACCTTTACCTCTCTAAACATACCAAGAGAAGAGGTCAGAAATACCAATTAGACTATTAAAAAGAGATCACAGATACATAAAACTAGTAAAACACAAACATATGTTTAGATATTTGATCTTACCGGTAATTCAAAAACTGATAGGAAGCGATCCAAGTAGTTCACAGATAGACAAAAGCTCAAGGGTCCAAAACCATAATAAGTATGAGCCTGATGATCACATTATAGAAAGTAAAAGTCATTAACGGAATTAACCGATTAAAAAAAAAAGATTTAGACTTTTATCACACAGTTTCAACCAGTATAAAACAAAATTCAAATATGTAAGGGGAAGATCAGAGAAGCAAAGGAAGAAGGAAAATCGAAATCAAAGTTGTCACAAAATCAGTGGAGGAAGAATTGGCAATAGTACCTAGTTACTACATTACCAACTTGGATTTTCAATAAATAAAGGAAAACCCAGAAAATTCACTACGAAAGCCAACTGAGACCCAATGAGAAAGCCAGACATTGCATCGGAACTAATTTCAAAAGGGTAAAAAAAAAATTCATATAACAACGTAAAAATGACTCTTTTGGATGACTAAAATCCCATTAGAAGCACCTGAACCACCAAGGTAAGAATCCATATAAATTAGCCACACACAAAAAAAAACTTTAGATGGGATTTGTTTTTCCAAGTCCACTGAATGAAAATGGAAACTTGGGACAAAAAAGGAATTGTCAAAAATCGAAGAAGCTAAAAAACAAAAAACCCCGTTTTAGAAAATTAATAAACCAACCTTCCAAATCCAATCAAGAGCATCCCTCCTAACACTCAAGTCCAAGTCCCCACTACGCAGCCTCTTCAGATAATCATCCCTGGGCAAATGCTCCCTCTCCCTCTCAACCATAACCCTCACAGTTTCCTCACTCTGTACCAGAAAACACGTTAAAAACTCCGATCCACCATTGTCCGAACTCGGACACTTATGATCAGAGTTAAGGTTTCTGTCGTCCAAGAAAGTTGAGAATCTAAACCCATCTGCATCATCACATTCTTTGTTCTCGGAACAAAGAAGGTTAGAGGTGGCACAGTTGAAGCTCTCAGCCATTGGCAGACCTCAAAAAATAGTGCTGGAGCAGAACCCCAATGGAGGAACCTCGTCAAAAGAGTGGGACTACAAGAACAAAACTTTATGGGGCATTTTGGGATAAAACGAAAAACCCATATGACACTGTTCGAGTAGTGAAGTGTAGAGTGAAGAATGGAGTGAGAGAATGGTGAAAGGGATGAGCTTTATGTAGGAAATGGGTATTCGCTTTAGGGTAGAAGCAGAGATAGACGGAGCAAGTAAGATGGGTATTGGGATCCATGGATACCAAACCCAAAATGAAAACACAACTAAAATAAATATTTAGAGTAATTTTTTTTTTTGTTTAATTTTCTGCAGCTGTTTGAGAAAAAATATGTCTGCCGAAGAGATATATTTTATAAAATAAAATAAAAAAGTAAGTACGCGGTGTATTCTTAGAAATACATTATATGCGGCAAAAAATATTTCTCCAGTAAAAATAAAAAAAAATTTGATTTTTTTTAGGGATTAATGTATTTTATATTATAAGAGATAAATTTTATTTGTTATACATATATAAAAGTGTGTAGGACCCATATGAAGAGAAAAAATACAAACTCAACATATTTTTATATAATTAACCAACGTCAGATGTCGATAAAAATTTTGATTTTTTTCTTCGTGCATCACACAAATATTGCACTAGTTCATTCTTTTAAATGATTAGAGTGATGATACAAAAGCATGATAGATTTTGTGACAAATTATGTCTTTAAAAAACTAGTTTGATGACAAAATAATTGGAGGTTTAATGTGGTGATGTTTTATATTTTTTAAAAGCTACTTTAATGACAAGATTTTAAAAAAAGCTAATGTGATAATATTCTACTTTTTAAAAGACTAAATTAAGAATTTATTTAAAATTTTATCAGGAGAAATAAAAACAAATCACAGTGTAATTTTTTCAAAATGGAAAATTCCAACCAAGAAAAGAATGTACTGAAAACAAAATATGAACATTCTTTTTTTTTCAACTTTTTAATAAAATTATCAACGTTTTAAAAGATCTTTTCAAACAATTGATGTCGAAATAAATTGTTATCCAACATGCACCTTTTCTTTTTATTAGTGGAATGGAAATGAGTCAAATGACTTCCTCCTACACCTGAACCGTCCTGACTTTTCATTTTAGCTTTTGCATTTTTTAATAAACAAAAGCGCACTCTAATTCTTCTTCTTTATTCTCAAGCTTAACTTTCTTTTTTTCTCTTGAATTTTTATAAATATCAAATCACAATGATTACTTGAAATTATTTTTACAAATAATAAAGAAAAATTAAAGTTATCATTTAAAAGAAGATAAATTAAAATTCTGATTAATGTTTTAAATTAACATTTGCATAAAATTACATATAAAGTTCTAAAATTCTCTAATATAATAGTAGAAATACGTAATTTCAGACAAATAAGATTGGCTCACCTAGTTAATTTTATATGAAAATTTTATAATTTAAGTAGATTTTTGCACATAGGTAATATGTAATCCTATTTTAAATATGTAATTCATCATCTTTCAATATATATATATATATATATATATATATATATATATATATATATATATATGTTAAATAACAAGAGAAAAGATAGACACATTTGTGATATTTCTGTGTGTCTTTAACGAATGAGGGATATACAATATATAAGCAAACTAATGGGCTAAGCCCAAACCTAATGTAATCTGACCTAATACAAAATAAGAAAATCCTAATTACAAAATAAGTAAAATCTAATTACAATATTTCTAACAATATATATATATATATATATATATATATATATATATATATATATTATATATATATATAATTCAACATCTTGATAGATGTTGAAACAATAGAAGTCCTATTTCATCCTTAATGTCTACATAAAAAAAAAATTAAGTCATGATATTTGTCTCATGTAATGATAATTAGCTTAGTTATTAATGAATAACTTTAAATATTTTATTCCATTTCCTTATCTACAAATAAGAAACTGATAATTGAGCAAAAGAAATGGCAACTGAAAAAAAAAAAGTTAATGCTAAGTTTGTCAATTTCTTATTAGAAGTACTATATTAAAAATAAAGATTATTTTATTGTGTTTAAACCTTTACTCTACGGTTACTTACTTCTTAATTTTTTTATCCCTTAACTATTGGTGTTCCCCCTCCCAGCCCCCCTTTTGGAATTTCACCTGGCTCTTTTAAAAAATAAAATAAACATCTATTTTGCCCCTAAATAATAAAAGGGGTTTACATTTGTCATTTAACATGACACAACAAACTTTTCTACACACATAATATTTTGTGGGGCCCACACTTTTTGAAGAAAAAAAAATAAAAAATCACGGCACGTAAAACGAATCTCTATAACATTACACAATTAATTTTCCTACAATATAACTCTTATAAAATCCATAATAAAAACCCCCATTTGATTTTTATATTTATTTTTTAATGTTTTTTTTCCGTTACACGTTGCTTCCTCCTTCCATGAACTTCTCTCTTCTTTATATTACACAAGTGTTACTAGATGGTAGTAGCTTGATAGTAGGAGAGCTCACTAACTAGAAAAAAAAAAGGTTTCAGTTCGATCCTCATATATTACTTTTGATAGAGGTTTAAATATATTTATCTCTGACATGCTCCACACTTTGAATTAGTCTCATAGCCAATTCAAAAAGTCAAAACTTGTGGAGATACTAGGAGGAGCCAACTCGTCTCAAAAAAATAATTAGAATTGTGTTAACTCCATATATATATATATATATATATATATATATATATATATATATATATATATATAAGGAGAGACGGTTATACTTACCACCAAGTAAGTTTATCACTCTTACAACCAATATCATCACCGTTAGATTAGAATTAAATCTAACGGTTTTGTTATAAAAAAAAAAAATCTAACGGTTCATAATTGTCTCTTATAATCCTAATTTTTACTTTCTCATCCCCTCTCTGTCTCTCTCTAGGTTTGAGAATCACCTCTCTCATCCTCTCTTTACCGTTGCAGCGATTTAATCTTCAATTACAACAAAAATATCTCACCAAAATAAATAATTGGACACTAAATTAATTTTTTGCATCCTCGGTCGCTGATTGCAATTCTTTTTAAATAACTTATTATGAATCAACGCTGATCGTAATTCTTTTCTAATTCATATGTATGTTTTCATCCACATGTATGTTATTGATAATTCATTACTTTATAGGAACTCATTCCGTAAACTTATCTAATGAATTGCACGTTGATTGCAATTCTTCGATTACTTTTTCTTTGTTTGATAAACAATTCTTCCATTACTTTAATAATTCATTCGTTATTTAAAATTCATTACTTCATTAGTTATTAAAAATTCATTACTTTATAAACCATTCTTCCAATGGATCTTGATCACGATCAGAATCATCCAGATAAACAAAATAATTTTAGTTCCACTAAAATTATATATGGGCGAACATTAATTCACAAACACACAGATTTTAAACTGTTAGGAGAAGATCACCTTTGATCTTATCCTTTAGCAACTAAGTCCTAGTTTTTAGCAAGAATAATTTGTTATTATTCCATGTATAGTTTGTTGAACAGTATACTTTATTCTAGTTGATCCTCTTTGATTCTGTATAACCGACTTGTGTATATATTGGCTATCAGCCATTTCATTAAATATAACAACATATTCAAATCCTCTTAGTTTTCTACATGGTATCAGAGCCTCGGTGTACCGGGTTCGATCCTCGCCGCCTCCCACTTTCTTTCAAGTGGAATTTCTTTGTTCGCACAGGTAGCTGGGCCTGTGCATTGTCCACCCTTCAAGCTTAGTGGGCTCTCGTGTGAGGGGGCGTGTTGAGATATATAAAACCATTAATGTAGTCTCACCCAACAGCTTAAGCTTTTGGGTTGAATTGGTTCTTTACATGGTTTTAGCAACTAAGTCCTAGTTTTTAGCAAGAATAGTTTGTTATTATTCCATGTATAGTTTGTTGAACAGTATACTTTATTCTAGTTGATCCTCCTTGATTCTGTATAACCGACTTGTGTATATATTAGCTATCAGCCATTTCATTAAATATAACAACATATTCAAATCCTCTTAGTTTTCTATATAAACCGAAACTTGAATCCAAAAAAAATTAGAGGAAGATGGACGAACAAAAACTTGAATTCAAAAAAATTTGGAGGAAGAGATTTGCAATTCTCAAACCTAGAGAGACAAAGAGGGAATGAGAGAGTAAAAATTAGGATTATAAGGGACAAGTATGAACCGTTAGATTTAATTCTAATCTAACGGTGATGATATTAGTTGTAAGGGTGGTAAACTTACTTGGTGGTAAGTATAACCGTCCCCATATATATATAGGGATTTGCATTTGTCATTTAACATGACACAACAAACTTTTCTACACACACAACATTTTGTGGGATCTATACTTTTTGAAGAAAAAAGAAAAAAAAAAAAAGAAATTACGGCACGCAAAACGAATCTCTATAATATTACACAATTACTTTTCCTACAACATAACTCTTATAAAACCCATATATATATAGAGGTAGGATCCTTTGACACCGGTATCAAATTTGAAATTTGACACCTCATCTGATAGCCGTTAGATCAAAAAAGATCAACGACTATGATTTGTAAGCATGTGACACCATTGATCTTTTTTTATCTAACGACTATCACATGAAATGTCAAATTTCAAATTTGACACCGATGTCAAAGGATTATATATATATATATATATATATATATATATATATATATATATAGGTTTCGTTCACAACTGTGTTAAAATTGCCAACAAAACTTCACTCTTCACTGGCTCAACTCTGCCCAAATATAAGATTATTTTCACATTAGAACATAACATGTGATGCAAAAAATCGAATCTATTTAGTTAGATTATTTTCACGTTAAAATCTGGAACATGGAATCTATCTTCATATCTAATTTTGAGATTCTCTATCAAGGCTTTTGCTCATTAGATCATGGAAATAATTATGTAAGAAGTTTTCCTTTGTCCCGTTGACTCTTCTTAAACCGCGTACATCAATAGTCTGTTATTGTCCAACATCTACCAGTTACCACAACACTCGGCGACTCATTTAGTTTGAGGGTGATTGGCCCACTCAAAATTTCAAATG